CCAACATAATAAAAAAAAATTTTATACAAGCGGACTCTCCAAACCCGCGAAATTTAAAAATTCTCGTTACTTTTTGAACACACCTCGTACAAAACAACTCCATCTGATTTGTTTATTTTACTTTCATTGTAATATATTTTATAGTCTGGAATATGGAATATTTCATGATTGTCTAAATTCCATGTTTCTGTGCATACTATTATACATGGTTTTTTTTCGAGGTTCTTCAGAAATACTAGTAATTTATTGTAATTTTTTTTAAGGCTTCTGATGTTTATACAAAGAATGATATTATTTTCTTTACATATATATTTGTTTAGATCATCAATATTATCTGTGTTATGTTTATTTTCAAATATAATATCATATAAGCTGTTATCCATATTGTAATATTGCAGAAAACTATTTAGTATTCCTGGTTTTATTACCTGTTGGACTTGGAGTAGATAATGATGATAACGATAAACTGTTATTTATTCTCGGACGGTTATATATCTTGCGGGTGTTTGTTTCAAAGTTTATTCTACCAAAATATCTTTGATAAGTTGGTTGAATTGGATAATCTGTCATTTCAATATACCTTTTTATTTTCATTTTTAAAACTTCACATATTTCGCTGTCGATTGCACTATGGTTTATAGTACGTTGTAGTTTTTACTATATGTTTCATTGTGGAAAATGCAGTTTGGACATTGGAGTATGCTGCTACTACACATTTTTGCTTGGTGCTTGCCTGCACATTTATAACACGTTGGCTCTTTTTTTGCTTTTTCACACTTTTCGCCGCCGTGGCCAAAACCTGAGCAGTTGTAACACGGATATGTGTTGATGACGTCAAAAACTCTACAGTTTTGACATCCAATAAATAATTTGTTACTATTGATTTTTATATGTTTATATAGAATAGATGATAACATATGGAACTTCTATTATTGCAGTTACTGTTTTATTTTTTTCATTTGTAAATACATGATTTACTTTGCATTTTTCTTCGTATTGACTAAAATTTCTTGCATTAATATCAGTTTCTATATCTTTTACATTTGTTGTGAAAGCTTTAGAAATTCCTACTACTTTAACAAACGGTTTACGTATTTCTTCTTTTAGAACAGTAAGTGCCGGTAGTTTTTTTTGTAAAGTTTTTTCTAACACTGTGACATTTTCTTCGGTCATGCAGTTGATAATTATTGTGTCAGTATTTTTAACTTGTACACTTTTTGTTTGTATGTTTTTGTCTTTAATTAAGTAATGTGCTACTTGATTTTCTAAGTTTATGTTATCATTACTCTTTTTCTTTATTATTAATCTTGGTATTCTTTTGGGCTTAGGTTTTGGTAGTGCAATTATTTCAGCATATGTTTTTCTTATAATGTTAGTATTTGCATTATTATTTTGTTTTTCTTTAATTAGTAGTTCATTGAGCAATTCATTTTTTTCTTTTGTTTCTTTGTACAGTTCTTTCAATAGGTTATTTTCGGCTTTTAATTGTTGTAATTCATCCAGATCATTGATCTGTGTTACATCCATATGATTATCTTTTTCATTTAAAATTTGCTTTTCATTCACAAGCTCATTTAATATTTCCTGTTTTATTTGTTCTCTACTTACAAGTTTAAATTGTGTTATGAAAGCACTAGCTTGTTCACTTAAGTCCCCATATGGCAAGTTTGATGTTAGTGCAAAATTTGGATGCTCCTGGCATATTATGAATGAGCTGTTTATTAGTTTGATTGCATTTCCTGCATTGATTTTTGCGACTATTTCACTCGTATGATAGAAATTTCCACATACTAAACACACAACTGCTCCTACTTTTGTATTTGGATGACACTTGAAATGCTTATGTAGCGATGATGCGTCAGGCGGTTGCACGTCCGCACCGCTCGACGGCGACATCGTGACTGAAATGGTCAATAAAATCCACGATATGGTGTTGAGTGATAGAAGATTAAAATTGCGAGAATTGGTTGAGGCCACAAGGATATCAAAGGATACAATCATTTCAATTTTCCATGAAAAATTGGGGATGAAAAAAATATCAGCAAGATGGATGCCGCGGTTGCTCACTGTTGAAAACAAACGAACCCGCGTGGTCACCTCTGAGGCTCTTTTGGCACGCAAAGAATAGTCCAAACAATGGATTACCGCAGGAGAACCAGCCCCAAAGTAGGCAAAGACAGTGAAGTCAGATGGCAAGATTATGACCACGGTTTTCTGGGATGCGCATGGAATCGTCTCATCGACTACTTGGAAAAGGGCCAGACGATCACTGAACCATATTATGCGTCATTATTAGGTTAGCTGAAAGAAAAAATCAGAGAGAAACGTCCTCACTTGAACAAAAAAAAATACCTCTTTCTTCAAGACAATGCTCGAGTTCATTAATTGACCATCCACCGTATTCGCCTGATTTCGCTCCCAGTGGCTTTTTCTTATTTCCTAACCTCAAACAATGGCTTGCCGGACAACGATTCACGTCGAATGAAGAAGTCATCGCCGAAACAAATGCCTATTTGGAGGGTTTTCAGAATTCATATTCTTCTGATGTCTTAAAAAAACTGGAAGGCCGTTTAATTAAATGTGTCGACCTTCAAAGAGATTATGTTGAAAAATAAAAAAAAATTACATACGCAAAACTTTTTTTTCCTTCTTTTTGTAAAGACTTATTGACCCCCCTCGTAAAAGTATTGAAAATATAATAATCCTAATTTATGCCTTAAAATTTATATAAAAAATACTTTGGTTTATTGAAATTACTTCTAAATAATGCATTTTAATTGATCAATCTAATTGGTATATCTATATCTATGAGTAGAGTGTCGTCAAGCTTATATGGTCATGAAATTTGACTCTTGCTCTAATACAATCATATAATACGTGAGGTGCCGCCATTTAATATACTAATTGATAGATGTAGATTTACGAGTTTAGCGGGTTGCCGTAATACAGTGAAAACGAGAAAATAGTCTAGGAATTCATAGATAGGACCGTTACACTAAGCTTCGGCAAGGTACTTACAATCGTTCGTAGTTCCTAGAATCGGTCTAGTGCGATCGCTTTGTCTGTCGAAATCTGACAAGTCGTTCGTTATGTGAAAACGCTTTTTCTTTGGTGAACCATCTTGCGAGTATGTTACAATCCTCCAATCACTTCCACGGGGCACCCAGAAGCTGTTTCCCGAGCGCAATCGCCTAACCGCCTGCTAGCTTCTACCCTCTCCGTTTGCTAATCAGACCTCTCTTTCTTTTCCTCCAGTGCGTATGCACACTTAGTCGGCGCAAGACTAACTATGACTATCGCACCTATGCTCTCTCTTTTCTCGCTATAGCTTTCTCTCCGCGAAGTTTGTGTTACGAGCTGACCGTCAATAATCGATCGAAGGGCTCGTCACTTACCAATTCGCTGACATATGCTCGACACTAGAATATATTATAAATTTTCAACACATAATTATTTATATTATAAATGATTATTTATTGCTGGCTTTAGGGAGAGAGAGACATAACGAGCTACAAGCCGTTTTTTATAAGGTTAGGATATCTCGAGTACATTAGGTGATGGAACAATTGAGATCAGATTAGGATTCAGCGCGTCAAAATATTTCGGAAATATATTGACGCGGCTCTGGGTTTTTTGGCTATCGGCCTGTATTATTATTGGTGCTAACAAATTTGCGAGATGATTCTCTGGTTCGCTGAAACGAAAATTCAAACCTAATAAATAATAAAATGTGAAATAAAAATTAGTTCTCATGTTAAAACATCTATAAAATAAATATTACATTAAAAAAATTAATTTATATATTTTAAGAAAATGTAGAATGTATTTCAAAAGTCTCACCAGAGTAAATATGAATTGTACGCACGACAAAACGGAATTTGTTAAAGCAGTCTGATGAAAAGTTTTATATAAAATCTGATTAATAACATAGGTATACAAATAATAGGTCATTTCCGGTATCACAAGCCAGCTATGTTATTTCCGAAGGATTTTGGTGCGCTGAATCTAAATCTAGCCTCAAAATTGTTCAATCATGTCAGGTTTTTGACTCGTATCCTAACCTAAAAGTGCAAAAAGCACTGTTTTTTGACAAGTTTTGTAGCATCGTAAATCAATGTTATTACAGTAAGCTATTTAAATCTTTTCCTTCAAAATGCCGTAGAGTTTACCTAAATATCTTTTTTTTTGCCAAGATATCACATTCTGAAATTTTCATATTTATGAATTTCTCAAAATTAGAAAATCCATTAACCTATTAAGTCTTAAGTGGACGATTTTCTTTTACTTTTTTCAATTAATCTTTTATCAGGAATAGACATCTCTGACGTAAAATTGTCTGAATTTTCGATATATGCTGTTAGATTTTTGAAAAAATGCGTGTGTGTGTACGTGTGTGTATATGCGTGCGTGTACGTTGACTTCAGATTCGTCATCAACGACCCCAAAAACCTCCGAGTAACAATGTTTGAGTAAGTTCACTGAACACAAAAATTCGTGCAACAAAAGGTTAATGAATTTTCGAATTTTGAGAAATTCATAAATAAAAAAATTTTTAAATGTGATATCTCGGCGAAAAAAAAGATTTTTGGGCAAACTCGACGGCATTTAAAATAGGATGATTTGTACTTTAATATGCTTTAAGTAATTTTTTGTGAAAAAATTTATTTACTGTGCTTCATAACCTCAAATTTGTCAAAAACAATATTTTTTACATTTTTATTTTTATAAAATCTAAAACCTATCTCAAAAATCTATCTATACCTATCGGCTATCTCAAAAACTGTGATGGAACCATTCTGAGGCCAGACTTGGATTATGTGTACCAAAATCCTTCGGGAATACTATAGCTCGCTTGTGATATAAAATCTTGTATACTTGTGTAACAGTACTGATAAGTTGATTACCTGTGATATAGTCATCAGTTAGATCAGTTGCAAACAAGGATCCTACCAATGTTTCTCATTTGAAATTTTTAAAGTTTTCTTTATCTTTTGTTTTAGATGGATTTCTATTACGGTGATCAAATTAGATAATATAAACTCAATAATTCCGAGCATTGTAAAAGTAGATAATATTGAAGTTGATTATAAGTATTAACAGATTTTACGGAGTATGGGCCAACAGTGAACTACTCTTCATAAGAAAATATTACGTTCAGTCTATTGAGGACAAATACTCTGTTTAAATTATATTTGGAGTAGTCTTACACTCATCGATACAGCAGATCATTATGAATGAATTAGATGCTCTACGCCAAGAGGCGGAAACTCTAAAAAATGCTATCAGGGTAAGTGCAATTAATGTATATATTATATTTATATGTTCATAATTTGTTTTTCTATTTTACATTTTCTAGTGATTATAAAATATTTCTCTAAAAGTTTGGTAATCTATGGTTATTTCTTTATTAAACTGGTTGAATTCAAAACAATACAGACTCTATGAGAGCTCGTAACTAATGTTATTTGTGACCAAAAAATTGAGAAGACATATTTTTTTACTTTTAAATGAACTCTTTTCGATGGTGCCCTTAAATTTTCCTAAAAATTATGAGAAAATCGTAAAATTAATTACATAATTATTTCTACCTCTTGTAATTTTAAAGGATTTTGCCGTAAATATAGACAGATTTCAAATGACTGTTAAAATACCGGCAATTTTTTGCGTCGACTTTCAATTTGTGAAATTTTTAAAAGTGTCATTTTTCATTCATATATGTTATTATTTGTATGTATTTTATATGTATCCGTTGTACGAATGTTAATGTTAGATCTCGAAAAATACCGTGGTTAAGGTATACCAATGTAGTTTATAAAGCCAAGTTACGTTTTGTCCCATATCAGAGTCACAGATAATAGTTATATATTATATATATATATATATATATATATATATATATATATATATATATATATATATAACTGAGACAAATAGCGTTGACTCAAGATTGCGAATGAATAAATTTATTTTTCATTAAATGTCTGACGGAATAATACGTGAAAATGATGTATTCCTTATCATTGACTTCGCACAAAATTCCAAGCGCTAATCTGTGTATCCCGATTGTTTCCCGTATACATCTGTTAGTCTTACAGAACATCTGGCTTTCATTTTATGTGTTGTAGGGCTATAAACGTTGCAATTAGTGTCAACTACTTGTTTTGACATTATCGAGTTTACGACGTTGCAAAATTCAATGTTTGCTGGATGTGTCAGCCTTAGTTTTATTGTCGGGTGATATGTCGATATGCAGGAAGCTGTGTTCATTTGGAGAATCGCAAATTTATGTTTTTCTGATTTTATTCTACATCATTTCAAATAGACACACCCACGGGGCACTACGTTGAGCACATCTAAGAGCTAACGATTGGTGATGTTTTGTATTGTATTATTCCTATTTGTATTACACTTTACAATCATCAAAATATTTGTTAATCCAATTTTAGAGCCAACCCGTTGGATTGGCTCTAAAATTGGATTAACAAATATTTTGCTGAACAAAATGGAGAGTGCTAAGAATAACATAACTTTACAATCATTTCATTCTTGTTAAATTGAAGAGTCATGCTCCCATTATTTCGGCAAAACTTGTATCCGTTTCCCTGCAAAGTTCGTAATGGATAGGAGCAAACCGACCCTCTATCCGTCCTGGTGACCGTGCAACTCATTCTCCTTGAGAGAGTGCACTTTTCGCAAGGGGTTTCGATCATAACCCTGCTAGGATATGTTCATATAGAGAGGATCAGACGCTTGAAGCGTTATCGAGGAACTCTCGTGAAATGTCTTAAGATTGCGGAAAATTTGTGGCACGACGCGCACAGTGAGACCATTAAAAAAAAAATAGCGAAAAAAATCGTACTAAACGTGAATTTTTCATTTAATTAAAATTAATGGTTCAGGGTGAAAAATGTTCCATTTAAGTCTACAGCTTAGGAAACTGGATCCCTAGCAATGATTAGATTTGATTAACACAGGTTAATCAGCTGTAAAAGCAGCAGATCGACTGGAAATCAAAACTATCGACAGCCTAATTTTATTAAAAATAAAGTTTTTGCGTTTCAATTGATGCAATCATGTTTTTAAGGCTGTTACAACAAATATAAAAAATCTTTAAAGTAAGCAGTGGAAATATGTATAAATGGCTAATTTCGTTAATGAATTTTCGTTGACAGTAATAATGCCAAACTGTTTCTTTTAATTTAAAATACTTTCAGAATGACAAATGAAAAAATACGACTATGAAAAAACAGTTTTGTTCAAGTTTTCATAGGTTAGTGTTTCTTCTTTGACAGCAATAAAATTAAAAACAATGCTTAATACTCTTTGTAACTAGTATAATTACACAGGCCAACATTCATAAAAAACTCAAAAACGTGAAAGTATATTTTCGAAAGTAATCGATCGATTCAAAATTAATCAATCACCTCAAATTTACAATATATCCTAACCTAAAAATGCAAGAATCACGATTATTGTTATGTTCGACGTTATGTAATAGCGTCAATAAATTTTTTTCACAAAAAACAGTAAAACCATCATAAAGCACCACTCTTGCCCTTTAAACTCTATTTTTTGTATTGAAGATATTTTTTTCATGGAGATATCATTAATTAATTTTAAGTATTTTAGCAGTTTTACAACAGCATTTAAATGACAGGTTACATGGGTCGAGGGTTAAGTCAATTGAGTTCAAGGGTCTGGGCTTATATGGTCACAGGTTACAATCGTTGGGCGTTAAGGAGAATGGGTTTAAAAGTAAAGTACTCAACTTCAATCAATGATATCTCAATAAAAAAAAATCTCTAATCTAAAAAATGAGTTTTAATGGGCAAGAATGCTGCTTTGTTATGATTCTACTTGTTTTTGGAAAAGAATTTATTCATGGTATTACATAACCTCGCACCTAGCGTATTATCGCGATTTTCGCACTTCTAGGTTAGGATATCTCGAGAATCTTAGGTGCAATTTTAAAGTCAGATTCTGATTCAGCGTTTCAAAAACTTCCAAAAATATGCTATCATGTTTTTAGATTTTTTCTATTTTGAAATTTTGTCGGCCTGCGTTATTAAAACTTCTGGGGAGATTCTACTATAACTATATTAACACTTGAAGTCCCACGTATAAATTGGATAAGATAAAAATAAGTTACTAATACTTTTTCTATTGACTTGTTGAATTGTTTATCAAAAATTATGTAAACAAATTACTAGAAATAAAAAGTTATTAAATAAATTCATTATGTTGAACAACGGACTATAGCATTAATTAGAGGAAAACCAATAAAGAAATTTTCTATAACAATTTTTTATCCAATTTCAATTTGCTATTGTGAAACACTGATAAATAATTGTATAGTTAATGACTTTGTAATAAATCTGAAAACTGATCACGCCATTTGATTCTATGGAAACAATTGTGATGCAAACCCTTACAATATATTACCGCCAGAAGTTTATTAATGTAAAATACAGTGTGTACGTGAATTCTTTTGTGTATTTTGTTTGCACAGTTTAAATTTTTATACATATTTATGTATATATGTATTTTTTTATTCGTAAGTTCATTTTACGAGGTGTGTTCAAAAAGTAAGGTGACTTTTCAAATTTCACGGGCAACGTACTTTCGATTATCGATTTTTTTGTTTTGTTATGTTGGTACACTCTTCCCGAACATCTGTACCAAGTTTCAAGTGTATAGCATTTTTTGTTTGGTTGTGAGAGGCGTAAAGGTTATAAGTGTTTTGCGTGCTCGGCGATTTCTTGCTATCGAAAAATATGGATCAAAGGATTTGCATCAAATTTTGTGTAAAAAATAAAATAAAGTGCTCCAAAACACTTGAAATGTTGACGGTGGCATACGGTGAAACTGTTCTGAGTAAAAAAAATGTTGACAAGTGGTACAAACTCTTCCAAGATGGCCGGGAAGATGCCAATGACGAGCCTCGCTCTGGACGCCCAAGCACGTCAACAACTGATGAAAACGTTCAAGCAGTGAAGAAAATTGTTCTGGAAAATCGTCAAATCACTATCAGAGAAGTTGCTGAGGATGTTGGTATATCGCTTGGCTCGTGCCATGAAATTTTTTCTAACGTTTTGGGCATGAGACGTGTGTCAGCGAAGTTTGTTCCGAAATTGCTAAATTTTGACCAAAAGAACCGTCACATGAGCATCGCTCAAGAACTGTTGAATGACGTCAACGACGACCCAGATTCACTCAAAAGGGTCATAACTGGTGACGAATCATGGGTATATGGTTATGATATCGAAACCAAAGTCCAATCGTCCCAATGGAAGAGTCCAGATGAGCCAAGACCGAAAAAAGCACGCCAAGTTCGATCAAATGTCAAAGTTTTGCTCACTGTTTTCTTCGATTACCATGGCGTGGTGCATCAGGAGTTTTTACCATATGGACGTACGGTCAATAAACAGTATTATCTTGAAGTTATGCGCCGTTTGCGAGAAGCAATACGAAGAAAACGCCCAGAATTGTGGAAAAACAGTTCATGGCTTTTGCATCACGATAATGCCCCTGCTCACTCATCTTTGCTTGTGAGAGATTTTTTGGCCAAAAACAACTCCACAATCATGCGTCAGCCACCATATTCACCGGATTTGGCTCCATTTGACTTTTTCTTGTTCCCAAAACTAAAGAGACCTATGAAAGGACGGAGATTTGCAACGATTGAAGAGATAAAGACTGCATCGCTGGAAGAGCTCAAGGCTATACCGAAAAGTGCTTATGAGAAGTGCTTTGAGGATCGGAAAAACCGTTGGTATAAGTGTATTGTATCTGAGGGAGATTACTTTGAAGGGGACAACATAAATATTGATAAATAAATAAATATTTTTTCTTAAAAATACAAAGTCACCTTACTTTTTGAACACACCTCATATTTCAACACATTTATACTGTTTTTTTTTATTTAGAGATATTATCAACAAATTTTAAGCTTTGATAATTGTACAGCGGGCATTGCCAGAGTATATGATCAAGATGTTGATATTCGTGTTTATAGTCACAGATGGCGTTGTTAAAGAATTTTATTTTATAAAGAAAAGCTTTAAGATTGTAGTGACCTGATCTACAGTGATTAATAGTGGTTATTTTTTTGCGTGAGAGATTGAGCTTACAAAAGCAAGGTTTAGCTTTATTATTATTTATATATTAGGAAAATGCAAATTACACCTTTTGTTTTTCAAAATAGAAACTTTTATCATAATTTGTTTAAACACTGTTTTATAACACTTGGAAATAACAAAAGAAAATATACTGTAACAGGCTGCCGAT